ATGGACTAACTAAAATAGGTAAGATTACTTGGGGTTACTGTCAGCACATTGAGCAAACATTGGTTTCCACATTCTTTTCATTGCACAGTGTTTTTAACTGCATCAACATTCTTTTTGTACATTGCAAGGAATTTGGGGTCTTCTTTGACTTGCCTTTTCTGTTTAAAAGGAAACAATCTCTTAGGATGTTTAGCCGATCATCCACTGAACAGAAGATTCTTAAATATTCATCATAAGTACATGTAAATTGTAAAACCTTAAGTAGTCCCCAGGTATGGAAAGTCCTAAAAAAACAGACACCCACAATATTGGGAAAAGAAAAAAAATTTTTTTTTTTTTGCAAAAACGTTTTATCTGAAAATTTGTACATTTAGGCTTTCACTTTATAAAGAAAAATATAACAATCAAAAATTTACATAAAAGTAAATGAACTGAAAATTTTAAATTTACATTCTTTTTTGAATGGCAACATTTGCACCTGAATTGTTATTGTTGAATTTAGGTGTTAAAATTTATTTAAAAATATGCTTAAAAGTAAAAATTACCATAAAACAAAATCCTACTTAGAAAAGTAATATTTACTAAGAGTCTTCATCACATGATGAAAGGTTATGATATTTCTGGATGAATTTTTATTCTGATTCAATCTTCCTTATTAAAATGTAAAATGAAAGTTATCCTGAATGGCCGCTCTTCTGTGTCTTTCTGAAGTAATGCAGGTGTTTTCCATGGTTCTCTCCTTCGACTTATGCTGCTCCTAATTTTCATCAATGACCTTTCTGATGACATCAGTTCTCAACTCAATATATATATATATACTGATGATACCAGTATTTACACCCATCTTAATAGTAACCTAATAGTTAGTATGATCAGTCTGATATGTTCAAATTGGCAGCTGATCTCAAAAATGACCTACAATCAGCTGTTAACTGGCCTGTTAATTTTAACACTTCAAAAATGAAACTAATCTCTGTCAACCATCTGAGAAGCCCCTTTATTAATTATTTTGTATGAAATAGATTGGGGAGAAAAGTAAAAAAAATATTTTCCAAGAAATAAAAATATTCATTTAAAAATAAAAAAAATAATATAGTTTATTGTTTATGTAATTTTTGTAGACCCATAATAGTAGTTCAGCTAAAAAATATATTATTTTATTTTATATAAAATGTATCGAGTCTAATTACAAATAATCTAAAAAATAAATGTTCTAATATCTGTTTAATCTGTAAAATTAGGAGCTAATCCCAAAAATTAGTCAATAATTAGTAAATAAAATAAATAGATATTTTTTAAATTGTAATGTTTTAGTACACCAATGCAAGATTTGTAAAAATGAATTATAATTATATACATCACACATTTTAATATTACCATATGTACTTTCATTTTTTACATACACAAATTTTCATTTTGTTTCCATGGACATATACAAATGTATAAAATTTAATTTGTATTTCTAGTTTATTTTTAATGACTTACACAATAAGTAATTTACTTTATACAACTTTATAAATATGAGAAAAAGATTTAAAACTCATCAAGAAACTGTGAAAAACATTGCTTATCTGAAAGAAGACTCTGCGATGTGAGATGCATGACCAATTCAGAGTTGTTTAGGGCCCATAGTACTGTGCCAAAAAGAGGTAGAAGGCTAATAGTCCAATAAGTTAAAGGATCAGATAGTTCACCTGAGTTCTCAAAAGTTCTAGAACTACAGAAAAGAATTTCCAACTTGTTGGAAAGCAAGAAGCAGCAAGGCATTTATTGTAGAGATTAGAGAGAACAGGAGCTAGCCTATGAGTACATTTCTTACACATGCTTTGTTGGAATCCAGTGTAGAGATGATAGCAGAAGCCACAGAGGGAGTTCTATGCATATCACTCAACAGGGACACTGTCCTAAGAGAGAAGTCAGGCAGAGATAAACTAGTTGAATCAAGAGTAGAATTAGAAAAGATTTTACAAGCCAAATATTCTGCTTTATCTGCAGATGTTAACAGTTCAAACTGAGTGAAGGCACCCTGTTGACTGGGGCTGTAGAATACAGTGACTGCACCTTTGCAGAAGGATAAGACCCTCCCACCCCCAATGGATGTCCCAGTTAAGACAATAAACTACATCTGACAGCCTTGATAAGAAAGTTTTGAGGAGCATGGAACCACCTCTTAATTGCTGGTATTTCCAGGCCCACCCTGACCAAGGGTTGTAGCACCTGTCAGGGTCCCGGCTATGGGCAAATAGTTACCCCCCAAAAAAAAAAAAAAAGTGGGTAAAAAACACTATGTAAAATATAAAAATAGGTTTTAATACCGCAGTACTTTTTGGGAAAATTTTTTACCATCAATACATCTATATTATTATTACCAGCAATACAATTTTGAAAAAAAGATATTACCAGCAGTACATTTTTGGAAAATAGGTATTGCCAGCAATAAAAATCTTGTCAGAATTAAATAACTCATTGCCATAAACCAAACCAAACCAAACTATACCACTTTGCTTTTTCTATGGATACATGAGATAGTGGCTTCAAATGAGAAATCAATTCTAGTCAAGTTCATTACATTCACCTATATTCCAAAACCCTTGGGAATTGTATAAATCAATCTCGTCTCCTATCAGCTATGAATTAAATAGTGGAATAATCTAGATGAATCAAGAGTATTAATTAGAAAAGAATTTAGAAGCCAAACATTCTGCTTCATCAGCAGAAGATGTTAACAGTTTAAACTGAGTGAAGAAAGAAGGGATGGAAGAGTTGTTCTTATTTAACACACTATTACAGAGCTGCCAGTATAATGGTAGATGTATAAATGTGCATGATGGATTCTGAGAAGAAGATATATGCATCTTGTGTTTACTGCACTCTTTGTTCCTAATGATATTATATTTCACTTAGTTTCTGAAGTCATCTTTTTCTATTCCTCTATACCTTAGGATTTTTGTGTTACATGTTCCATCATCTGTTATGATACTACACAGATAGTTAAATTTATGTACCTGCTTTATTTCACTCTCCACAGAAAATATCGAAAATAGGGAACATTGTTGACAATTATGTATTTAGGTACATAACAAATAAATAATAATAATATAAATTTTGTTGCTATATTACATTTGTTGTTAGGTATTTCTTTTTCTTTTGTTATTGGCAGCATCATACTTATTATAAAACCCAGGTTGTGTGTGTGTGTGTGTCTCTGTACGTTTATATATTGGATCGGATTTCCTACATTTTTCAACTGATTTCAACAAAACTTCACAGGACTATGGAAAATTACCTTGCGGTGGTTCTGACAGCACCAAAAATTGGAAAAACACAATTGTTTTTGCACAAAATCAATTTGTAAACACGATTAAGAGGCATCACAAGAATGTAAGGGGATAACTCATATCGAGTTATACTTATTATAAAACTCAGGTTGTTTGTGTGTGTGTTCATTTATATATGGGATCGGATTTCCTACATTTTTCAACTGATTTCAAAACTTCACTTTTTTTTTAGCAGGTAGTGTTTCTTATTGTCTTGTTTTTTCTTTATTTTTACATTCAGAATGCTTTAAAAATTCCATTTACAAGACAATTGTTTATAATAAAATTCTATTCAATCGGTAGATTCATAATGATTGAAAACAATGTTTTTGTTTGAGTTTGGATTTTACCAATTCGTAAAAAAAAAAAAAAAGAAGAAAAAACAAAAAAAAAAACTAATTAAGACATGCGTGTCTGTCAACCTTAAACAATAATCTTTGTCAATTTTATTTTTCAGTCTTTATGATGGTCGATACTTGATCTGTCTCTTACATTCCCCGACAACGCACTACTAGTTTTAGAATACAATGGCTGCAATGCTAAGTTACCTAAGTTGAAGAAACTGAAGCTATTTTGATTAAATTTTGTTACCTCTCTTTTCCATTGCTTTCTTCCATCTCATTTATTAGACAATAGACTTATTCCAAAATAAAGCCTGTCAAAAGGAATATTTGAAATTGCTATACACCCCAAAATAAAATGCTTTTGACAAAAAACCTTAATGATTTCACTGTAATTATGTAACAATAATGTAATGATATTCCACAGACAAATCTACAGTTTATGTTACCTCATCTCATTGCATGGCTACAAACTATAAGCCTAAATTGAGTTTGAAATATTGTGTAATCGGCTGTAAATTTTTGTTAAATACTTGGTTATGATATAATGAATAATTTGCAGTGAAAAAGCAATTTTCAATTTTTTGTTGAATACACTCCTCCTCTGACGAACATGTCATATATACATATATACACATGTCCAATGCAGAGAATAATATATCACACATATCTACATAGAAAAACAGAGTGTAACAAAAAGGAAAGGTCTTACATTTAATATGTAGATAGTCCAGTGTCTGGAGAAGCTATGTTTGACATTCCAGATTCAAATAGGCTGGATTCATCTATGTCCCAGACGAGGACATATTTCACTAATGGGAAATTGTGAGTCTTGGGTTTTCCCAAATTGAGGATTGTGAGCTGAAGTTTCATTCTATGTCTGGGAAAGATATAGTCCCAAAGGGAAATGTCACCATGGACTTTTCAGCTGCAGGTGAGGTAGATTTAGCCTCTACCCTGGCCACGGAAGACCCAGACTAAAAATAACAATCTTGCTGTTTAGCTACTGAAAACAAAATTACCACTTTCATTACTGTGTGTAGTGATGTCACTAAGCAGCTGTCATTTGACACATGTGACTTATCTTCACCAAAGGGAGATAAGCTTCTTCTGTATTCTTACACAGCCAAAAGATTTAGTTCTACTACATTTTAATAATATATAACAAAAGCTATCAAATACATTCATTTTCAGTAAATATGGATGCACTATAGTGCTATTGATCATTACAGTTTCTATTTACTTGTGAGGATTTTTGTTTGTTTGTCTGTACTGTTTATCTCCTAGTTGTTGTTTTTTTTGAAGAATTCTATGATTTACATATCTTTTTCTTCTCTTTTAGGGAAAATCATGAAGACAAATACAATCTCATCACAAAGACAGATGCCAAGAACAAATATTTGTTGAAAGATGCAGATTTTGACAAACGAGAACCAGCCTTAAAATTCATAGTTCGAAAGAATCCCCATAATCCAAGATGGGGAGACATGAAACTTTATCTAGAATCACAGGTAACACTATCCTAACATATATACACACGCAAACATCTCCTCCCCAAACATTTCTTCTTACTCATCTCTTCAGTTCAATCCTTACTATGTTGCAATATTTATTCTAAGCTCAGGAAATTTCTTCATAGTAAATTTGTATATTTCATACAGTTTTCATCAGTTGGTTTTATTGAGACAAAACAGAAAGCAAGGATTTTGAATACAGATTTGAGCATTTGATTGATTTGTTTTTTTTAACAGCTTATCAAATTTTTGTAGGTTATTTAAAGCCAGAAAGTATTTTTTGGTTGTGAGACTTTTTGTGGAGATAATAAAAGTTTACTGCTACATGTCTTACTAATTAACCCATAGCTCAGTGGGGAAAGGATTCATACCTTCCCCTAGTGTCTTTGTGCATAATCGAATATAACAAACCGAACTGGAACTTCAATTTCCAATTCTCAGCTTTTATTCATTACACCATCTGTTCATCCATGCTGACAACACCTGATATTCCTAAGTGGTCACCCATCAAGGTACTGACCAGGCTTGATGTGATTTATTTGCTAAGTACTCCTTCCTAACGTGGTACTCTGGCACAACATGATCTTTGCGCTTTCAATGCAGGTTTTTTTTTTTTTTCAGATTGAGCTGATTAATGGTAATTGCAATATTAGTTGTTTCATTATAAAAAAAACATTGTGCATTCATTGATCGAGCAGCCAGTGCTACTTTCATTTGAAATTTATAAAATGTTTATATTTAAGTATTTTTTTCAGGATGACAAGTTTCTTAAGTACAGTAATTGTTATTGCTCTTTCTAGTATTGACTGTGGCTTTCTTCCTACCCTTTTCTTTGAATTAGTATCAACACCTTGATTATGTCATTAGTCGTCATCACATGTGCTATCATTTTTAGATGTTACTGCTGCTGAAATGCCTCGTGATGTGGTTTCTGTTATTTGATACATTTTTTTATTTGTTTATTTCTGTAGTACCAGTTTACAAGGTTCAAAGTAGGATAGTCTTAGTTAAGATTCAGAGGCTTTACTTAAAGCCATTTCAACAATTGGTCTGCAAAATCAGTGGTATACAACTGACTGTTTAGATGTTTTCTGATTGGGTTTGGTGCCATACGTGACACCCATATGAAAGTCTTGATCTAACAAAGCTATATAAAACATAGTAAATGTCTGTGTACATATATAATTTCTGTAGTATATATATCATATTATAGAGAAGTAATTATACAAAGAATTAATTAGCAATGTTAATGTGATTAATAGTGAATTTCTTCACTAACAATCAAGAATACTTAATGAGACATTAACTTACTATTAATTCCTTGAATAAAACAATCCTTATATTTGAATCGTTAAATAGATGGAATTAATGACCCTGACACTTTCAAATTGTCATCTTCAGGGTGTAATATTGCCATTTACAGGTAAACTCCAAGATGTAATAAACATAGTGTAGACCAAAAGATGTTTTTAAAAATATGCTAATTATTGACACTTATATCATTTTGGAATGTGCAATGCCACAACACTAGAATCCTTGTTTAAATGATTCAAGTAAGAATTTTATTTGAATTCAGTAATGTGATAAATCCACAAATTAATAGTAAGTTAATGTCTCGTTAAGTCTTATTAATTGCTAACAAAGGGATTTTGCCATTAATATATATATATATATATATATATATATATATATATGTGCGTGTGTCTGCTTGAATAATTTACAAACATTATATCAGCTTATTTTTATCATAATCCTTTCATGTTCACGAATATTTTTCTGTATATTACAATTGAATAAGGCAAGAAATGCACTGTAATAGTGAGAATCACTTTTATTTCCTCAAGTACTTTCCATCTTTCTGAGATCATCATCAGAAGTGCAACTGTTAATGCAAAACTATGTGTCACTGTTCATTACTGAATTTTTTCTTTTTCTTCTAAATGCTAAAGTTGACAGTTATGCTTTAGCGTTCAATAGAACATGAAAAGTTATCCATTATAGAATTTTTTTTTTATGCTCAAATGTCATGGTCAAGCACACATTAAAGCATGAAAACTGTTCTTTTCATAGGCATTTTAGAACATTATTACAGTATTCGTAGCTGATTCTATTCAGTGTCAGTTTTAATTTTCTAATGAAGATTACTTTAAGGATTTGCAGTTTTAATTTGTTATTTTCTTGATGTAGGATAGTTGTGTTATCAATCAGCATTTTTCTTTTCTGTGAATGTGAACAGGAATGTTGGTGTAAATGTTGAACATGACGTTCCAATGTAAAATAAAAAAGAATTCCATAATTGGTAACTTTTCATGTTCTAATGAACGCTAAAGTATGACTGTCAGCCTTAGCTTAAATTCAGTAATCGATAGCAACGCATAGTTTTTACCAGTTGTGATTTTCACTGTTACAGTGCATTTATTGCCTCATTTGATTGTAATATACGGAAAAATTCACGTAAATATGAAAGAATTATGATAAAAATAAGCAGACATAATGTTTGTAAATTATTCAATCAGACATGCCTAAAAGAGAGTTTGCTGCCTAAACACATACACACACACACATACATACATACATATATATATATATATATATATATATATATATATATATACATGCACACACACACACACAGAGGTAGAACTACATTAATATTAATCTTGTACTATCAGTACTTGCATCTTAAGCATTTGTTTGAGAAAGCCGCAAAGAATATTTAATGAATAGACTAGTGTCAAAAGGAAAGGAAATTGAAAACTCAGCTGTTGTCGGCACCATCAGTAAAGGAAAGCTAAACCTTTATTTGATGGCAAAAGGAGACAAATTTGTTTTCACAATCACCGGAGGTGTTTGCATTTGTTTGTTCTAATAAAAGGCATTATTGCCACGGCATACAAAATTCTAATAGATGAAAAGAAGGATCGAAGAAATATCAAATATGAAGATAAAGAACGGACAAGCTTCCATCTGTGAATGAAAGGGAACTATAAGTAAAATAGATGGAAAGAAAATAGTGACCATTTTAAAATTGATTTGAAAAGGTAATCCACTTAAACTACTAATAAATCTTTTTATAGTACTTATTGATGATGAGTACAATAATTCATGAGAGACATAGGGTCACCACATGTATTGCAGCTGCAGCAACAGTGCCATGTCTTGGGAAAAATAGCCTAATGGAGTCTAACACTTTCTGTTTTGTATTCAGAGTTTTCCTTCTCCTATGCCTGTTGCCACTCAAGGCTATAGAACTCAGTCTGTTCTGCTATTTACCCATAGCTTCATACCTTTCCCAAGAGTATTAGCATGTAAGTGAATATAAAGATCTCAACTGGAATTTGAACTTGGTATTCCAATTCCTCAATCTGAACTGCCATCCATTACTCCACCGTGTCTTTATAGTACTTGCTAGTCTCCAAATTACTGTTTTGAACTAATCTGGATATTATAACTTACTTAAAATGTGACTTAGAAGAACCAATGATTTTCACTAAAAAGTGTGTAATCATTCTAACAATTCATCTGGACAATAGAATTTATTTTCTGTATTGCTTTTGTTGTTACCATAATGTTTTCAGTTGTACAATTTAAGTAAAGACTTTTTTGTTTTTTGCAAAGAGAAAAGAAATGGCGGGTTATTGACAAACCAACTTGGCTCATTCCCAGCAGTTCATCACCCATAACATTCTTACTTCTCATGTAACATAGGTGATTCCCTATTATGTATGCCCCCCCCCATTTACTAAACAAGTCTGATTAAAATTATCTGACATTGTCCTTTTAATTTTATTTTATCTTTTCCTAGTTATGAGTTGTCACACATTGGATCAAAATTGAAAAGAAACTATCCAAAGATTGTAATTTTTTTGTTTGAGTACTTTCACCCTTCTGTAGCCATTATCAGAAACGTTAATGTTATCAGTGCCAAAAGGTTTTAGAAATTTCAAATTTAAATATATATATGTATCATATACAAGTGGCATAATGTATAAGACATTTTTTTTTAAACCAATATTCCATTCAGGACCACAAAACTTGTCAGGGCCTGACAATGAAAGCATTATTCAATTTAACTCATTTCTATTATTTAAACCTTACTTTTAGTGGATACTTGTATTTGAGTAAATGCTCCATTTATTTATTAAATGGTATATTTATTTTTGTCTACTGGCCTGAATATTTTGAAATCTTATTAGAGAAAAGTATGCACTCTCCTTCTCACATTCTGCTGTTTTGTAAGTGGGTCGAGCCATGGATTTTTAAGCATCCCCTCATATTTAGTGCACATTTGTGTACTTGGAAAAACTGTCATAAAATATACTATATATTTTATAAATTTTGTAATCAGATTTCTGGAAATTTTCCAACCTTTTTTTTTCAAACCTGAAGTGGATATGTATTTCTGTAATGTATTCTTGAAAACATGAGTTATCAGAATGTTTTACATTAACTTACAGGTAATTTTTATTTTTTTTACAAGCTGAACTCACACTTAAATTATATTCTAAATAAATGTTGGAAACTTATTAATGAAAACATAAGATTTTTCTCTATTAGAAGTATCTTTTTCATTCTCACTTCATGAAAAAGTTTCTCACACCTTAAAATAATCTGGGAAGCAAAATAAACAAAAACCTTTTGTCTCTTTTAAATTTTAGTATTTTCTTGAACTTGTTTATCATTTGAAAGATTGAAACCAAAACAACAAAGTAACAAGTAGTGTCTGCCCTTTTTAACAAAGCCATTCGTTTGAAGGTAGAAATTGACTTTTATTCAGTCAGGTAGCAAATTCAGCCAAATCATTTTCCCCATTAACTGGAACAGCTCCAAATTGGCTCGCTTTCAACTGCACATGACTAAAATGAAGTATTTCTCACATTTGACCTCAATTTGGTCTGGTTAACCCCCTTTTGATCCTTTCTGCTTGAAGAAGTGACTCATTCTAGAAGCAAATAAAAGAAAACCAGATCAAAAGGAGTTAGACTGTTTCATTGATA